CTGTCAACAACCTACCTGTGATAATGCAAATGAACATAAAACCCCCACACAAGAGGTGACTTAGACTTTAAGGTCTCCCTTAGAACTTGAGCGTTTTTACAACCGGTCTCTTGTTCTCTCCTTGCCATTCAAACTTTCACTGGAAAACGAAAGCGTAGAAATGCTGCAAACCTCCCATTGCAATTAGTATTGCATGCTTTTTATTTGTCTTTCCTTTTTCAAAAGAAAAGCTTAGATTAGCCCTTCTTGTGTTACAATACTCAAATACATACGCAGGTAGTTGCTGCTGTAATGTCACACAAACAGATCCAAACCCATCCAAAAGGCAGATTTTGAGCCCGCTTTACAGCTCGACAGAACATGCTGGATGGATTAGCCGATTTCGGCCTTTTTGCAGGCTCTTAACTTTCGTTGATTTATTCTCAACACACATAGTAACCCCTCTTAAATGTGTTGCAGACCTTGTAAATTCTTCGCGTATCCCGGTGGAACTCAGCAAGGATCGCAAACACTGTCCACGGGCCTTCGCAGCCTACAGGTACAGCACAAACTCAGACAGGTCTCGGGCATTCCCTGTGGTCCTTTAAGGACCACGCTTACTGTTAAGGCTTGCAATTACTGTCCAGAGAGTTCAGAGGTTCACAGCTACGGGCCCCACAGCAACCCTCCCAGGGTTTTATTCTGTTTCCTACATACAAAACAGTCTCTAACATTCTTTGGAGATCTTTTCCTCCCTAGCTCTGGGAAAGCACAAACTCAAAACATTATTGCCTTTCCTAAAAATCTTTCCTCAGATTTCAAGCATTTGTAGATTATTTTAAAAAGTCTCCTTTCCATCCATCCATCCATCCATCTCTCCCTTCTTTTACCACAGAAAGGGATTTTGTTTACATTTATTCTAATAACAACAACCTTTCAACAGCAGTAGCTGTACATGCCCTGACAGCAATCTTCTAGAAATGAAAGCTGAATGGTGCAATCTTACTTGGAAAAAGGGAAAATCCACCTACATTGCTCTAAAAAACAAACCTAAACTAAATCCCCGCCATCACCAACTCTTTCCAGTAAGATCTGAAACCCTACCCTTGCCATTTCCTCGCTTTCATGTTTAAATTTGTTCAAAGAAATCAGAAGACGGATCCTATCATTTCACCGTTCAGAAACCCCTGGCACAGCTCCCTATATATTCTCACTTCTTCTTAAGAGCTAATAAACTGGATTAATTTTTCTGAGGTCTCTAAGTAGAAGAAAAGCTGAATAAAGACTTAACACCCCCCCCTCCTGAACCTCACACGAAGCTTGTATTTCACAAATACAACTCCAAAGAAAATTTTTTTCAAACCTTATCTGGGAAGGCTTTGCAAAACGAGCATCAAACAATAATTCTCTTTACACCACTAAAATTATACTTACAGATGGGAAAGAGCGGGGTAGAATTTCCTGAAGTGTAAATGCCGAACTGTAGCCAGCCAAACACAGCCAAGACTGAGCTGGATGTTTTAAAAGTCTAATGTTCAAAAGCTTTGGTTTTGTTGTCTGCTGCAGAGTGAAATGACAAAATAAATGTCTTTTTATGGACCACACAACGCACAGATTGTATCTGCACAGTCCAGACGGGGCCGGGCACAGCGCTATAATGCATTCAACCCTAAAGGCAGGGGGTTTAGCTTATTTCTCCAAGGCCCATAATCTAAAATTGCCAGGATGGCCAAATGCCCTTGCTCTTCCCCATGCTATCTGGTTTTGCAACAAATCACAAATATCTTAAAGCTTTTAAATTTGTCTGGGCTTAGCCTTAATTATCCGACTTCGTTTTCTCTGCGTCCATCTGAGAAATGAAGGAGGTTTTTGCAAGCTGCTGCACTAGGCTGGACACCAGTGCTAGCAGCGTATCCAAAAGGCGAACAAAGTGAAATTTGTTTCACAGGCTTTTTTTTTTTTCTCCCTTCTTCCATTTTTTTGGCCTGATACAGACCCGTCCTGCCAAAATCTCTCCCCACTGCACTATCATTCCATGAGCTATTTCACACCTCCCATTCAATTCTAACGTGGAGCCAAACCCGTCCAGACACCGCTGGTATCCAACGCGTGACAGAATGGAATCTTTCCCTGGACATTAGGAGAGGCCATGAGATGTCAGGGGTGAAGTATCTCCACGGTAGAAATGATGCTCAGCTGTGCAGCTCCTTCCATGCCTTTCCCTTCATTGAATCCAGATGCCACAAGTCTCTCAGCTTTGTATCCGAGAGATGGGGACGTAGACTAACACGCGAGAGGTGAATCACAGATTTGGGGTGGGGAGCCATTCTAGCTAGCCAGAAGGATTACTTAAAAAAACAAAAAGGAAAAAAAAAAAAAAAAAGGAAAAGGTGATTGGTTCAATGCCCACCCTTTAAAGTGATGAAGCCAACTCCCAGTGCTTCCATTTTAGTTTAGTAACTCTGAAATAGAAGGTAACAGAACTTCTCAGCAGCTGGGCATGGTCCACAGCCTGTGGATCTATGGGAGAACAGCTCAGTGAAGTCTTGCTGTAGCCTCTTCCTTAGCCAGGGCACATAATTCACCACGTCGTCCCCACACAAATCAAATCGCTGCACTGTATTCTCAGAAACATCCCGGCAAAGCATCCGAGAGGCTGACAGAAGCGTCAGCCGAGCTGCTGGAGAGCTGGGCTCGCTCCATCAGCGCACCTTCGATGCCTTGCACACTCTGCACTGGCTATTTGCTACTCCCAGGCTTGTTCCTGCACAAACATCATCCGCAGGGTTTAAGGACACAACTATACCTGAAGGTGTCCTGTTAGTCTTCAGAGATGTCAGTAAGGTAGAAAGATCAGAAGGGGCATGCTTCAGGGCTAGATTCTACAGGCCCACCCGAAACAGTCAGGGAAGAGTACAAGGTTCAAGGCCAGCAGGTTGAGGGAGGGGATTCTGCCCCTCTGCTCTGCTCTAGGGAGACCTCCCCTGGAGCCCTGCGTCCAGCTCGGGAGCCCTCAGCACAAGGAGGACATGGACCTGTTGGAGCGGGGCCAGAGGAGGGCTACTAAAATGCTCCGAGGGCTGGAGCCTTCTGCTAGGAGGCCAGGCTGGGGGGGTTGGGGGGGGTCAGCCTGGAGA